ACACACACACACACACACACACACACACACACACACACACACACACACACACACCTATGAATAATATAAAATCAGGTGTCATTTCAAGGTAAGGGGATCATTAGAAGGACACCTGATATGTGCATCTATGAGGAACTCACAGCCTCAATCCCTCATCAGGCAAACTTCTTCCTTGACCTTACTCATACCTCCACGCATACATATCTCCTTTAAACCTGATTGAACACTAAGGGGTCCAGTCTTGCTCATCCACAGCCCCATTGACCTAATGCTTTTTCACAGCTAGTGAGGAGAGGTGATCTGGCCCCAGGCAAAATATCAAAAAGAAGAATGAAACTGGGCGCGGTGGCTCACGCCTGCAATCCCAGACCTTTGGGAGGCGGAGGCGAGAGGATTGCCTGCACTCAGGAGTTTAAGACCAGCCTGAGCAACATGGTGAGACCTCGTATCTACAATAAATGAATAAATAATTAGCCGAACATGGTGGTGCATGCCTGTGGTTCCAGATACTTGGAAGGCTGAGGCAGAAGGATGACCTGAGCACAGCAGGTCGAGGCTGCAGTGGCCATGAGTATGCCACCGCACTCCAGCCTGGGTAACAGAGTAAGATTCTGACATTAAAAAAAAAAAAAAAAATAATGAATAGAAGATGCTGAAAGAATTCCATCTCATATCGCCAGGTTTAATTTCCTGTTAGTTTATTTTTGAGCATTTCTTAATCTCCTTTTCTGAACCTGAGTCACATTGTAAAAACCCCTCTTCTATTATCTCAGTCTAGACAAATTCTAACCTGGAGGAGGGGAAAGGGTTATCACTACCACCTACCCTCCCTGCTTTGGTCTGAAATTTCCCTTGACTCTCAGAAGAGGTCAGAGTAGCACTGATTCAAACTCTGCATTCTTCCAGGGTATGTGCAAATACAAACTCATTAATTCTGTCCTCACCCTTGTTGAGTTGTGAAAACAACTTAATAAATGGTTTGTGTTCTTATTCAGTGTTTCAGTTATCTTGCCTAGCACAGATCACTAGAAGACACCACGTCCATCCCATTTTTCCAGCACCATAATAGGCAGAGGGTCCTGAGAATCAGGACCTCTGAATAGAAGGCTGATGTTCTGCCCCAAAGCTATTGGAACCAGCTCCGACCATTAGGTTTTCACAGATATGAGACCTAGGGGAAGTGCTTGATGTGGAGAAGCCACTGGAAGCATGGCACAGTATAGTGTGAAGCTGAGCAAAGGTGCCAATGTCAGTAAGCCAGGACCATAACCTTAGTATGGAAGAGGGCCAAGCACAGCTCTCAGTATTCACAGCTCCAAGGTAGATAATCTAAAGGCCACATAAATATAAACATGGGTTTAGTAGCCAAGCAAACCAACAGTTCAGAACAAATGTCAGAGACCCAGATGTTTCTCATAGTTGGCTATAGAGGGGTTCTGCCCAAGCCACAGAGGTAAACTCCTGCTTTCAAATGACCAGAAATATGGCAACAATATTGCCTGTTAAAAATCATTGAAAATCCTCCCATTAAACACCTTACTTAGCTCAGCTTTCAAATACATCTTATCTTAATCTATGTGAAATATTGGGTCTTTCCCTTGCACTCACTCAGTACTTCAGGAATATTAGTCGACTCAAGTCTTTAAAAATACCCTATTTCTGAATTGCTCTATGACTTTGTCTAGGCAAAGCCTCCACTGATCTGAAAGCTTGCAATAGCTATTGCATTGTTTTATTTCCAATTCCAAAATGCGTTTGGCATATATATAAGATGCTTGATAAAATTAATTCACTAAATCCATGAAGGCTGCTGTTTCTTCCTGCCTTGTGTACGCTCTGAGGCCTGAATGGTCAAATCTGTGAATATTTCTTCTTTGATCAGGATCTTTGTTTTATATGGTCCCATGACACCATAATTACTATTTGTATGGTTATTTTGCTGCTGGACCTGGAAGATTTAGGAGGGCAGGAACAATGGCTATTCTGTGTGATGGCTGATTTTGTGAGTCAACTTGTCTAGGTCATGGGATGCTCAAATATCTGGTTAAATATTTGTAGGGGCCAAGAAAAATCTTCTCCTTCTCCCTCTGAAGATTCACTGAAAAATCAACTCACAAAAGGCAGCATAATTGGAGAAAAGACATACAAATTTATTTAACATGTGCATGGGGAAATCACAGAGTGATTACCTGTCACCCAACAGAGTTTAGAAGCTAAAACTGGCAGCACAGGTTGGAGGTGGGGAGCTCTGTTGAGAGAGTTATCAGAGAGAATGAATGGATCAGGAAACAAAGATTACATTTTCTGATGAAAGAGACTGCTCAGGTGTGGTTACCTTCTTGGTCTTATAGAGAGGGAAACAAAAAATGAGTTGTTCTGGTTGGGTCTAGATCTTAGGCAGATAGGGTAACTTCAGCTTTATAGATGGTGGAGAGGAGAATGTCAAAGGGATCTTGAGGCTTCTTCAGCTTAGTATGTCAAAGCATCTGATTTTGGGGTACTGGCTTCTGACTCTCAATACATTACTTCTGGGTGTGTCATTGAGGGTGTTTCCGGAACAGATTAGCATTTGGTTTGGTAAACTGAGTAAAGCAGATGATCCTCCTCAGTGTGGGTGGACATCACACAATCCTTTGAGAGCCTGAACAGAATAGAAATGGCAGCAGAAGGTTAAATTCATTTCTGATGAAGCTGAGACATTGGTCTTCTCCTGTCCATGGTACACCTGATTCTCAGGTCTTCAAATTAAAACTGGAATATTTAACATCAGCTCTCTAGCTCTCAGGGATTTAAACCAAACCACTGGTTGTCCTGGCTCAAAACCTTGTAGACAACATATAGGGGGACAGTGTTAGTAGGGCATCTTGGCCTCCATAACTGTGTGAGCCAATTTCTTATAATAATATCATTTTATAATTAATGGTATGTATAAAATGATATTTATATCTTATATTTATAGCTTATTGGAGATGGGTGTTTGTGTAATTTTGTTTCTCTGGAGAACTTTGACTAATATACTCTGTAACCCTGGCATCTAGAACATTATTGTCACATAGAAGGGGTTTCAACAATATTCACACATAAAGCTGATGCAAGTCCATGTTAACTAAAAGAAATTTGAAAGCCAGAAGCAGTGGCTTCCGCCTGTAATCCCAGCATTTTGGGAAACCAAGGTGGGAGGATTGCTTGAACCCAGGAAGTCAAGACCAGCCTGGGCAACACAGTGAGACCCCATCTCTACCAAAAGAAGAAAAAAAATAAAAAAATTGGCAAGGTGTGGCAGTACGCACCTATAGCCTATAGTCCCAGCTACTCTGTAGGCTGAGGTAAAAGGATCACCTGAGCTCAGGCAGTTGATACTGTGGTGACCTGTGATCATGCTGCTGCACTCCAGCCTGGGTGAGTGAGACCCCTACTAAAAAAAAAAAATTGCTCTTGCCAGGCGTTCTCATGTATGTGACACTGTCTTTAAACCCTGCTAAACCCTGCATGGCAATCCCTGATGCACCGCTGTGATGCCCAGGGAAGACATAGCGACCTGGAAGTCCAACTACTTCCTTAAGATCATCCAACTTTTGGATGACTATCCAAAATGCTTCACTGTGGGCACAGACAATGTGGGCTCCAAGCAGATGTAGCAGATCCGCATGTCCCTCCGAGGGAAGGCCGTGGTGCTGATGGGTGAGAACACCATGATGCTCGAGGCCATCCGAGGGCATCTGGAAAACAACCCAGTTCTGGAGAAACTGTTGCCTCATATCCGGGGAACGTAGGCTTTGTGTTCACCAAGGAGGACCTCACTGAGATCCAGGACATGCTGCTGGCCAACAGGATGCCAGCTGCTGCCCGTGCTGGTGCCATTGCCCCATGCGAAGTCACTGTACCAGCCCAGAACACTGGTCTGGGGCCTGAGAAGACCACCTTCTTCCAGGTTTTAAGCATCACCACTAAAATCTCCAGAGGCACCATTGAAATCCTGAGTGATGTGCAGTTAATTAAGACTGGAGACAAAGTGCGAGCCAGTGAAGCCACACTGCTGAACTTGATGAACCTCTCCCCCTTCTCCTTTGGGCTGATCATCCAGCAGGTCTAGTGCTTGACATCACAGAGGACACTCTGCACTCTCGCTTCCTGGAGGGTGTCCGCCATGTTGCCAGTGTTTGTCTGCAGATTGGTTATCCAACTGTTGCATCAGTGCCCCATTCTATTATCAATGGGTACAAACGAGTCCTGGCTTTGTCTGTGGAGACTGATGACACCTTCCCACCTGCTGAAAAGGTCAAGGCCTTCTTGGCTGATCCATCTGCCTTTGTGGCTGCTGCCCCTGTGGCCAAGGTTGAAGCCAAGGAAGAGTTGGAGGAGTCGTACAAGGATATGGGATTTGGTCTCTTTGACTAATCAGCAGAAAGCAATCAACTCAGCCAGCTTTATTTGCAAAACAAGAAAATAAAGGCTACGTCTCTAAAAAAAAATTTTTTTTAAATATAAGGCCAAAAAATTATAAAATATTATAAACAAAAGATTATGAAATATAAGGCAAAAGGCAAAACATATTATAATATAAAATAGAATATACAGATATATAACAAGGTAACAATTTCATCTAAAATAAAAATTTAAATATAAATACACGAGTTAACTTTTAAAATCTCTAAATAGGGATGTTACAAGTTATACAAATATTAGGTATTTTCACAGGAGTATCCACTGCTAAAAGAAGAGTCCTCCCAGAAAACAATTTTTAAGATTTGAGTGAACTCTGAGACAAGCAATAAAAAGTAATAAATACAGAATCAAGGCAAAGATATGTAGTAATTTAATAGAAGAAATTATTGGAAGAAGGTCTGTTGTACTGAGAATAGTTGTCAGAATTAAGTAATACTGGGTTCAAATTCTGTCTCCAACATGCATTAGATGTACTTAGGAATAGCTTACTTGAATTTTCTGAGCTGAAGTGTCTGTTACTATAAAATAAAATTAACACTATCTGTCCTCATGGATTGTTTTGAAAATTAAATAAGGACTCTACAGCATCTGGTACAAAAATGTATACCTAGTAAACCTTAGACCCCAATCCACATATCTGATATTAAAATTAAGAGATATATGAAGATGATATTTTCAATTTAAAAAACTCAAACAATAAAAAATATTCAATAGATAAAATTAATGTTACCTAGCAGAGGCAGAAAAGTACTGTGTGTGTATATATATACTTTTTTGAGTCAGCGTCTCACTCTGTCACCCAGGTTGGAGTGCAGTGGCATGCTCACGGCCACCGCACAGCCTTGACCTGCTGAGCTCAGGTGATCCTTCTGCCTCATCCTTCCAAGTAGCTGGAAATACAGGCATGTACCTGGTTAATTTTTTTATTTATTGTAGAGACAAGTTCTCACCATATTGCCCAGGCTGGCTCAAACCCGTGGGCTCAGACAATCTTCTCACCTCTGCCTCCCAATGTGCTGGGAGTATAGGTGTGAGCCACCACGCCCGGCTGTATATTTCTTTTTCTTTTCTTTTTTTTTTTTTTTTTTGAGTTGGAGTCTCACTCTGTCACCCAGACTGGGAGTGCAGTGGCCC